TTTTTGCTGGCCTATGACGCCATTTTAGAAGTTTTGTTTTGCATTTTCGATTTTTTTTTTAAATTTTTAATAGTAATAACAGTAATTACGTTACGTTACGTGCACCCAATAAACATTATTAAGTAATCATTCCCAGAAACTGGGCAAATTTTTGCTCTAAATTTTTAATGGTAACTGCAAAATATCCGCTCTCAATTGTCGACTTTTGAACAAATACTTGCCTTGACAGACTGCCATTTGTTTCCAAGAACGAATCGTCCCCTAAAATATATCGCTTTGATTATTCCAAGACCCTCTGTCTCATCACACCAGTCCGAGAGAAGGCCCTCTCGTCTTCTGACTTCGAGTTTATTTATTTAGAGTTATCTTCGTGGATCGCAGGGCTTATTAATTAAAATTTCTCAGACCGCGGAGATCGAGAAAGCGAGCTGCTCGCCAACGTTCACCCTACAGCCCCTCCTCAACGAAAAATTTCGAAAATAAATTACTCTCGTTTAAATTCTCAACCGTGGACCCTCCGCCTGCGCCATTTCCCCGCGACCGCGGCCGTTTGAAAGTTGCATCCCCAGAATTAATAAAATCCGAAACAGCTGAATAATTAAAGGCGGTGCTTTAATAATCCTCAGCCGCGCGATAAACTTTATAATTTAATTACTCCAAGGCAAGATAACGGAATCGAAATTAAAGACATTTTACATGACCATTGCGTCCCAATTACGGTCCTCGAGGTAACGTATATTTCGTCTCCCCGTGAGTCTACCCCCTCGTGTGACCAAATTCTAATTAAATTCCGTTTTAAATACGGTGTCAGGCGGCAGTATAGATATCTCGTCATGTTTCATTCCCGCGTATTTTGCGTTTTCGCGTGACGTAGTGTTCTTTTTAGCCGCGCGGTTCTTTTTAACCGCGTGACGTTTTATTAAGCCTAGTTTACACCAAAGCTTCGTTTGTCCTTAAGCGTATCACAGTAACGGCAACAAAGACGACAATGTGTGTAATCCTAAAAACTTACTCACAATACATCTGAAATTCCGCGATAATTCCCGAAACTCCCCAAAATACGTTGAGGTTTTCTGAAAATATCCAAAATTTCGTTCAAAATTTCTAGTTCCGGTCTAATGATTTTAGTTCATCAGTTAGATAGTTAGTCACCTCGTTTGACGATATTTTATATTAACAGAAGAATAAATGTATCCGCAAAGAAAAAGACTGGTTTTCGCAAAACATGCACCAGGCCGTAAAATATTTTTTTATACTATTTTTATATTATTATATTAATGTTGGAACCCTCTTCTATTTATCTACTTTTAAATGTTTTTCAGAAAGTTGTATTAATTGCGTTCAATATGACTGTATACATTTTCGGAACGAACAAGCCTGACCTAGAAACTTATCATTTTGCTTTTAAAAAACCGTTTAAATGTTTCCCGTACTTTTTTTTCACTTTAGTTTTGGTGCTTTAAAGCTTCATTAAACTTAAACGATATTGGGCTCTTATACTTCGAAATGATGATAATAAAAAGGAATGAAAAAACACTCTTTCTCTCTTCAAAACAATCGAGATAAAATATTAATACAAATATTACAGAGACGTATCTTCCGGGTACCTGATGTTGATCAAAACAATATCCCGGCATTATAGTATGTATTTAAATAATATGTTTTTATAATAGTATATTATGCAACAAGTGTGATGATCGGCATTGTGAGCAAGTGCTTAATCAAGGACTGACTTAAAAAGTTTGCCAAAGGTGTTGCATACTATATATTTTCTGACTGTCAGAATTGAGAAACGTTAAAATTCAAGCAGTTAGTATAAACCCGTGTGGTAATATCCCGAAAATGTCCGAAGTGGCTCGCAGCCGTAGCAAACGAAAATCACGCAGTAAAATGACACTTTTCGCACGCTCGATCGGTGTATAATTGGGTATTTTACAGAAGGGAGTAAAAAAACATATTTTTCACAATCTGTATAGAACCCAGAAATAATTCCTAGTTCTATAGAATTATTTGTTATTGAGTGTCAAGTGTAAACGAGCTGATGATGAACGAGACCAAGTCTAAGCATATGATCTTTTCAATAACGCGACAACAGATGGATTTGGGCTATTAAAACAATGTCACTGCTTAGTGTTTGTGTTCTGGAGAAAATATTGCAAACAAATAGAAGTTTTAACAGATTACTATTTTAACACACAATCGGGGAGTCCCAGTCCTTCAGTTTACAATCTCGATTCTGGAAGCCGAAAAGATGTAGCAGTGGATCAAATTATTAGGATGTTAAATTTTTAATCTTAAAAAAAATTGTGGTAGGGTGGTGGTAGGGCTGCTCAAGCATCCAAAAATGTGTATATTGTAGGTACAAAATTCAATCGCATATATCTGTAAACTTTAATCGTACAATGTTTATAATGACGATGTCATTTAATCTTTTAAATACAATATGTCCTATTAAAAAAATAATAAATAAAACTTTTCGGTCTACTCTGTATAATGGATTTTTAAAATATAAATCATCAGCTATTCAGATATTTGGATCCAAATTAGAGCCCAGTTAAGGTATTCAACTCCATTTTGTTTGGCCCACACTGTAAAGTAAACCTGCTAAATAAAGACTGTTTAATAGGTCTCTAAATGGCGAAAACACTGCAGCTTAGTACACGTGACCAAGGTGCGTGTAAGTGCCACGTGAGAGGTATTGTGATTTATATAGCGGCCATGGAATTGTGTTCCGTGAGTAAACAATGGTTTAGTTGTTAAGTAAATGGAAAATTGGCAACAATATGAATAGTTGAAGCACAACGAGTAACAGAGTAATAAACTTATAGATGGTTTATTTTGAACCTGTCATTTAGCTCGATCGCCAAGTAGTAATGATCAGGGAGTTGCTCATACAAATTAACATTTATATATCACACATCATTCATCGCGCGAGGCTCTCTGTATCCTTTTGAAATTTTAAGTATGGGATCAAAAACTTATTTAATATTTACTTATTTTATGTATACATTTCTATACACATTCTATACATACTTACACTAGATATAAAAAATGTCTATGTACAAGGATCTTAGTTATTAAATTTAATCTTAAATTTTTGAAACCGAACACAAATTCTCCTACAAGTACTAAGAAAAAAGACGATAAAAGAAATTAAATGTAAAACGATCATGACACAGCGGAATATCTGATACACAGTAGAGCATAGAGAGTTATATTAAATCGACAAAGGTCTCATAATTTATGAAAATAACTAACTTAAATTGTTTGGAAGATGTTTTATGAGTAGTCAGAGAATTTTCATATGACAATTGGCAGACAGTGATATTAATTTGGAGACCAACTCGTAGAAAATATATGGTTAGCCGTCCTTATAGGGAACCTTCTAATTTGATACTTGTCTAGTTTGGTATGTATAGTCAACTTTTATATTAAAATTTTTATGTTTACGCTGAAACAGAGAGATGTTACAATACTTGGAAGAAAATTTTTCTACTAACATTTACAAACTATAACTCAACTATATTTTCTCCAGCCAAATAATAGTAAAAGCACATAATACACACCGTAGAATTAAACTAACTGATAGAGAAGACCATTGGGGTTACTGGTTACTGCTCACTTGCAGTTCTTGAAGGAACATGAAAATTCAGTAGGCACAGCAACAACAACTAATGACTTATGCAAAAATTAAAACGAAAGGCACCTTTTATGATGTAACAGTGAGGGAAACTTAATATTTTTAATAAGTCGCTCTATGACAGTCCCCTAGTCCTAAGAGTAAAAAATTTAGAAACTCTATGTATTTTAAATTTGAGTGCTGTACTTGTACTAAGTAGTGGTTATTTGTTATAGAAATATAAAATGACAATATTTTGAATATTTTCAATAAATAGCGTTAGTTGGGAAACGTCTTTCTTTTTAAAATAAAGCTTTTAATATATATATTGGAACAATATGTATACCGCATATTATACCGATGACGCCACAAAACTTTATAGTGTAATGTGATATAGATTTGATATAGACAATTTTTTGTTCATAAACTTATTATAAAATTTATAGACAGACCTTCTTGATTTAACAATTGGGCCATTGATATCGCCATGTTAATTAACGCCCCACTACATTTGATTCAATTCCAAAGTTAATAATCTCCAGAACTGTTCGTTTTGATATTTATTTCGTTAAATGGAAGCTTAAATCGTCCGAAGCCATATTATAAAATACATTTATATTTAAATTTATGTTTTAGGCATTTACAGAGTGTATGAATATAAACAGTTTCATGTTTATTTGTCACATTCTGTTGAAATTTTCATTATTATTAGCTGTCCGTCTAATTCAATGCATGGCATATATTCACATAATTTTGTTTCCTAATTGACGTTTTTATGTCACTTATTTAATGAAATGTTGAATTTGTTATCAAACGTAACAATTATAATATATTACAAAAAACGGGTGTTTCTTTCCCGATTGATAGACTGACTCATACTGCCAACTAGATGTTTAATTTACGTTTAGTCCATATTTCTACATCATCCAAGGAGGTAGGTGGGGGTTGATGATCTCACTCTGCCTACCCCTAAATGGGTTAAGATATGGACTGCGTGGAGGCCAATTCAAAGTGTCATTTAAATAATTTTGTACTATTCCTGCATAATGTGGTCGGGCATTATAAAACTTGTCTTTTCATCGGGAAAACTTACTCGTTTCATATTATGTTCCGTATTTAATTTAATGACAGATATAAAGACGTGAATATGAACCAAGATGACTATGATGATTGAGTGTAAAAGTGGTTTTTCTTTACGCGGTCTGTATATGACTATAACTTCAGTTTAAATGAAAATGTTTTGGTTTCTGAAGTTTTAAAGTACAATTTGAAAATATAGATATCTAAATCGAATCAGAACTGCGCTAGAAAATTAACTTTGAAGATGAAGTTTGAGTTTATTCTTTGGCATGATTAATATCACATAAATATTCCGTTTCAGGTGGAGTGCAAGAAAGCGCAGCCGAAAGAAGTGATGCTCCCCGCCAACTTGGCCAAGACCCGCGCAGCGGGTCGCGGCGCATACGGTGAGTTGCTCGTCTTGAACCCGACCGCTGCGGCAGCCGCAGCGGCCGCGGCAGCAACATCTGCCGCTTCCGCTCTCCGCTACGCACCGTACTCGTTGCCGCACGGCGTTGCCACGCTGCCGACCGCTGCGGCAGCGGCCGTCCACCATGGACCATCGGCTACCGTGCCGCTTGCCGCTATTGCCGTGGCACCGGCCACAACCCCGCTGCATTACGCCACCACGCATGCGTTATACGACGTGACCGGCTGCAAAAGACTATTTGCCACGGCGCCAAGTTTAAGGCCTCTTACTGCTCGCGGACCACCTACGCTTACCTACAGCATGAGCGATTTGCTGGGCGTTCAGGGATTGGATATATCCGCGATTTACACTACACCCGCGGGGTTGGGGCTCTAAGCTACCTTTTTGTACGATTCGGAAACCCGGATGCAATAGACATTCCAAATTATAACCGTTGATATTTCTGCTTGGTATCAGCTTTTGTGGCAAAATTGGAATCTAGTTACCTTAGCTGATCTAAATTATGTATTAAGTCGGGCTTGCAATGGCATACTTAAAAATTCTGCATGCAACTTATAGTTGTTTTTTTAAGTGAACTGGTAGATAACCGTCTAAATGCCTAGTTTAGTGTTTATCGACTTTTTCTCTTTTTAACTTTTTTTTCTGAAAGTCTTCGTTAGAGAATGAAAATAAGTCGGCACAATCTGAAAAACTATGCTCTAGAAACTACTTCAGAAAAGAGGTCAATAAATTGCAGTTAAGCGTAGCAGTTTTTGGACACATCTAGTACCGAATAGTAATTTTATGACACAAAGAAAACCCAGAAAATTCATAAAATGTTTATTATTTAATCCAAAAGTAATTCTTCTTCTTCTAAATATGTTTTGAATATTCTTTTGTCAAACAACTCATTCCCTCGAAGTTAGAGGACCGTTTAATGTAAAGGAAAAGAAATGGGTTTATTTAATATTTTCACTCTGACAGCGTTTGACTGATAGACGAGTCATAAAATAGCAGTTCTTGGAAGGTTTCCGAATTCCAAATTGTAATATGAAGTTAAAAGTACAATCTACACCTCCTAACTAACTTGAGAGGAAAAACTTTGAATAATAGCCTCATAGTAAGGACCTATCATTCATTATGGGTAGCATGACAAATTAAGGTAGGGACCGACACGACTGGGTTCAGTGATGGGTTCATCTTGCCACAGTCGAAACATCTCATAGGTAGCGTGCATACTTAATAAATAACTTCTTGTCCCAAACGATAGAAACGACTAACTAAACTTCAAAAACAAAAATTATCCGGGAAATAGCTGTCTATTGCAATCATTATTTAGTAAATATCCAGATCGTTTTACGTGGGTCTAGTTATTATTTGAACTCCGCAAATGTATCCGAACTTTACATCTCTCTCACATTATCAATTATGAATATTAGAGGATTTACGTTAAGTTCGATAGATCAGCGGTACGACTATACCTACAGTCAAATTAGATATATGAAAAACTCCCAAAATTTTTGCTGAAACACGTAGTAATAGTAAGTAAGAGTAATAATCCAATAAACAAGGCTATATCCAACAACTTTAAAATATAGGAATTATAAATCGCACTTTAATTTAACTCATAAAATAAATTTGCGAAAGCGACCAGAGATGATTTCGTTGGGAGATCGATATCTCCTTTTTCTTCGCGTAATCAAATTAAATTTTGCCTTTTGAAGTTTTCATAATATTTAAATTCTATTTGGGAAAAATCTCATTTCTTATTTTATGAATACTTGATAGCGTCGACGAGGCGGTAGTTTAAAAAGAATAATTTTATTATTCGATTAGGCACAAAAAGAAGGCCCCCACCAAGAATGTTCAAACGAGATATCCAATTATTTTAATTACGTTCTTTTCATATTTATGTTTTTTCGCAATCTCGCAATTTTGTTGCTATCCAGTTCGTTGTAACTTGTTTTAATATATGCCCTAAAAAGTGCTGGTTCATTGAAAGTTTGACTTTGAATTTAACATTTCGTGACAATGACAATTTGGCATTTATGTGTTTATCAGTTGTTGTTCACAGTTGTCTTTTATGCTCGAGGCGGTGTTAGAATTTAGCTTGCACATCGTAGTAAATAGTAAATATAGTAACATAGTAAATAGACGTTTCATATACGTTAGCACATCGAACCACTATGATTCAAAGGCCTATAAATTATGTTTAGCACAGTACAAAACCAAGACTGCATAGCTAATCGTAGCGTGTAGAATTGTAGCCTTATACTGTCTTGTTTGTTGAATTTCGCGCGACGTTTCTCACTATCTACAAGTGATTACCGAACAAAAGGGAAAGTTTGGCAAATCATTTTGTGTCTTATTGCCGTTGCTTAAATTCGGAATTGTTTACAAACGGTGTCGAGTTATTATGAACTGTCCGAAACATGCCACGAGGTTGGATTAATTGTTGAGGGTTGTGTTTTGTTCGTAAACATATCAATTCGCGCGGAACGATTTGTTAGCGGGATTATAATTATACGTAGTAAGTAGTCAGAAACAGAACTTTAGTCAATTAGTAGGAGGAAGTATTTTAATACGATAAAAAAGTTGCCGGAGAAGCGCTTTCGCGAGGCACGAGTTGGAAGTGGCGTTGTTTTTGTTTGTCGAGTCTTCCATAACAGCAGCGAAAAAAAAAAGGATTGAGTCGGCGAAGTTGTGAGTTTTTCAAGCGATCTTAAGGAGCGGTTCTAGAAAGTTTAATTTAAAACAAATTAGCGAAGTTTATCGCGCCGGAATAGATGATTGATGGATCGTAATTAGTTTATTTAGGACCGAACTGGATAATAAAACACAATTAAGTAAACCGAGATTATAATTTTGATTAAGTCCGTTAAGTTATCCGATAAACAAGCATCAGCATTTTGTGGTCGAACAATTTCTTTTCGACTGATATTTTGACAAAATTTGTTAAACTCTTTTAGGCATCTATGTGCACAATATTGAATACATTTCATAGCTCAGAGGATCCTTTCAACTTGCAACTCAGTGGCCGCAAAGCGTCTATCCAATTTTCCCAAAAAAGTTTTACAAAAAGGTAGCTTTGTAGTTAGCCCTGACTTTCTGATGGCGTCTTGGCCGGTCACGTGGTTTTGAAAATTAAAAGATAACGAAACCGCACCACAACTTGGTACAACGCAGCTTGCGTTCATGAAATTTCAGTCGTGTCTATAAATCAGCTTTACTGTGTAAAAATGCGAGCGGGAATTAAAAAAATCTAAGCACCATCTTGCTCGCATTTTCAAATGCTACGTTTGTTATACGATCAGTTAGGTTTAGTTTGGATTGTTTTGTATAGAAAACAATTACATTTTTTAAAAAGTCGGGGCAGTAGTCGTAAATTTTCAGGTCACGGCGCGTACGTGCCCTGGTCCTTCTGGGGAGTTCGACCCGGCCTGATATATGTAATGCCATAGCCCTTGAAAGGTGCGACCTAATCTTTTGTATAGTGTTCCTTAGACCAGTTTAGTTGTAAATGTCAGCAATTTTTTAGCGATTCTGTTAGATTAAATCAGTCTGCTGCAGTGTCAGTTCGAAAAATCTATATGCAGATGCAGGAGGAACAGTGACAAAATTCTTACCAATTGTAATCTTAAATAACTTTTTAAATTTCACCCCGATTTTGACAATTTTCCTGACATGAGGAAGGAAATCGTTCAGATGCGTGAAAAACAAAATTATTTTCCAACTTCTGCTATAAAATACAAAGTTCGTTTCGTTGCCTGCACATTTTTTTATTCTTTTTGTTATCTCGTTTCTTTTGAATGTTATATAATGAGCCTTTGTAGGAAATTGAAATAATATTTAAAAAAAAATCATCAAAATCAGGCTAAAAATAAGAAGGAAGTTAAATATTAAAATTTGTTAACACGTTGATCCTGCGGTTTTTATCTCTTGAATCTCTTTTTATTTAATCCGTCAAGCTCATTGAATTTTACTGGAATTAGCATCAATAATTATCCGTACCGATAGTATAAAAGTAATTATCCGTGGTGACCTACAACGGACAACTAAGCTAACTTAAAAAAACTGAATTCGATTTAACAGAGTCTTACTGATAATGAAATTGTAGATTTTATGTGTTGTCTTATTGAATTTGTCTGCCACCATTGCTTCAATAAATTAGTTGAAGTCGGTTTACTGTTAAATTAGGTAGACCAAATGACTGCCTCCAACAACGAATTGAATTAAATATTCGAGAAACAAAGTGGAATTTATTTGCGAGCAATTCGCGAAACCGAAAATACAATAAGACAATTAAAGTACTTAAGTTACCTTAACTTTAAATTAATATAGTGTACTCGACTAACTAGCTAATGAACATAAACCTGTACTCTTCGCATAGATTAGAAATAATGTTGTAGGTAAAATAGTTGAGAAACGGTAACAGGTAACGTAAGCATTTCATTGTTTTAAAATATTAACTTGCTAGCTTAAAGTGTTCAATGTTTTTGAGCTATATAAATAATGTTCACTAATTATAATTTATAGTCTGTATCAGTAGTTCGTATTAACGTAAATTACATTTAAGGGTTTTGTTTTAATATAGGTTCTTCGTCCTCATAGTGAACGAAGAACCGTACGTTTAGAATAGATTTCAATTTTAGATGTAGTCCAACAGCCAATCATCTTCAGTCGTTACTTAATTGTTTAACATACATGTAGTGTGCGTGGCAGTAGATTTAGTCGAATGTTGCAGACGCTGATAAATTAAACAGAATAACGGAACGAAGAAGCAAAGTGATAGCTAACCGATTCAGCTCGTTTGTTTGACTTGACGCGTTTTTCTTTGAAAACGACATTTTCTCTCTTTGTGTAGATGTTAGACGCGTAGTTGAAATTTCATGAATGCCATATTATTACAATTCGAAATTAGCTCACTTACATAGATTTTCTTTTCATTCTCGTAATCTGGTTGTTGTTGCCGCGATGCCGCCGCATTTCTACGATTACTAATAGACGAATTTTATTCTCTTTTTAGATTTTATGTGGTCTCTGGGGGCTCTTCCAGACGGTGAGTACTTTGTACTTTGTTTTGTAGGAAAAAAAAACGATCGAAATTCAATTCAATTCAAAGTCAATTCTCAAATACTATAAATATATACAAACAATATAAAAGTATAATAGTATAAAACAGAATTTTTTTTTTTAACTTTTTCTAGTAGACGAGGCGTTTCCAAGATTAACCACTCAAAAATATTTAGGCCAAATAATTATTTGTTTTTCATTTTTATCCTTTTCTTATATTGATAAGGTGTGCAGTGGAATATTCTAAGACGAATGTGGTAAACGGCTTGATATATCGATATTGATCGGGGATATGTTTTTTGTGTGTAAATAAAGTTCGTTTCTAGTATGAAGTCTAAACACTGTCACACAGGGCAGCCGTTTTAAATTTTTTCACACAATTAAACCTTTTTCCCTAGGAGTCCCACGAGGTTTTCGTTTCTGTGGTTAGATGGTTTTAAGCGAAAATGCAAATTCTTAGAATTAAATATTGCCGAAGTGTTCAAAGCTACGAGAGTAATTTTTTATCCGTTTTTCACAAGACATATTTCCCCAACTAAGAGGTATTTTAGACTAACATAAAATACCAAGTCACTACCCAGTTGGGCAAGACAGTTTCAGGAAAAAGACAGGATATTTAATTAATTGTAAATATCAAAGTTGTGTGAAAAGAAAGTTTCTCTATATCTTTATTAGGAGGAGAACTTATATTTCAAAGCATTAAATTAAGTAAAAGTATTTGTTCAGTATAAACAAAAAACATCTTGAAATTACCTTTCACCTTTACTGAGGAGTGTGTATTAAACACTAGTTTAATTAAGATTATAAATAAATAATCAAAATTGGTTAGATCTAAAGATCTGTAGTACTCCCACCTCAGTCCTAAAAGTGGTTGTTTTTTTAAGTTATATATCTATCTTTTAACATAGCAACGATATTCAAATTTGTAAAAGTGACTGGTTTACATCGTCATCGTCAATTGCAAGTGTTTTGCAAACTAAAAACTGCACATACGTAAGTTCCACCTATCAATTCAACTTTACTTTGAGACTTAACTTATACATGAAAATAATTTAATATTGAAAAACAGCCTAGAAATGGTGAACTTTTTAAATCGATGCAGTATTTAACTTGAATATAGGGTTTCGAATTCAATGTCAATGCTTATGGACCCGGTTCAAATTATTTGTCTGGTTGATTTAAAACAATACATGCCGTTATTAAGGAACATTTCCAGCGGCAACCTTTAACTGGGATGCAAATTTTAAATTAAAAACTTTGAAAAATCGGTTTCTCCAATAATAATGATCCTTTCATACTAAACGATGGAGGAACAACTTTTCTCCCGCCATGTTTATTAAAGTTTCGTCCTGATGGCAAAAACATGATAAAAGCAGCGTAGCTTTTTAAAACTTTCCTTAATTCATTAAAAAATAATTATTGTAACCGGAGATTTGACGAAAGGAATCGAAATTGATGATGGCGAAATAAAATGTTGTTCCTTAAAAACATTTTAATTTAATTGTGATAATTTTAAATTTGGTTAAATGTGCCATTTTTTCGCAACCTACTTACGCTTTCAATTTAAACGAAAACAATGTTACCTTTCGGGTTCGAAATATCTATTTCTCTTTATAATGAAACAAGGACTATTTAGTACAAAATAAATAAGAACTAAAAGTTCAGTCTTTATCAAATGTATCATCACATTTGATAAAGACACGGTGTTGTCGAAACAATTGTCATGTCATAATATATATTTTCGTGAAAATCTGAACTTTTAGTTCTTATTTATTTTGATAAATGGATTTTCATCAAGTAAAAGCCACCTCAGTTCAACTATTTAGTACGTTGAGATCAAATAGCTTGGCTTTGGCTTTACAAAATCATACTAAAATATTAGTGGAATCAATATTTTTAAAAACTTAAAACTTTGTTGGAAGGGGTTATGCAAATGTTTGATTTATTTAGTCAAATGAATTTAATGAATTATCTTCTGTGCTCTGTTTAATCTAGCTATTAGTGCCTCTTGTGAGAGCGACATCCAGCTATCGTTGTAGGGATCTGCCTGGTGGTCCATGGTTGTAGGGATCTGCCTGGTGGTCACCTTGTGCTGGTATTTTGTGTCGTTGGCTATTTTGCTAATCTTATTGGCCTCATCCTGTCCACATGGTATCTCCAATAGCGTAGCCTTCACCCAATCTATCCCAATCTATCTAGCTCTGTTCTAATTGATTCGCAGCGCATCTAATCTCTTAGAGTGACTATTCTTATATTCCTCAGTATTCTCATTGCCGCGGTTCAGAGTATTCTTTTTGTTTTTGAGTTGTCGGCTCTTGTGTCCGCGGCACATCTCACATCTCTGGAGCTGGATATGCTGGCCCCTAATTAATTGAATGTCATGACTGGTTCAATGATCTTCTCGTTTACAACAAACTTGCACCGGATGGGTTCTTTGCTAATCACCATAGCTTGTGTCTTTTCAGTGGAGATGATCATGTCATATCTCTTTGCAGATTCCTCGAGTTCATGTAGTACTCATTGCAAGTCATCTTCATTCTCCGCTGCAAGAACTACATCGCCCGGAGAATCTTCAGAGAGCTATTTCCCATTGGTCACCCGCCATTCATTAATTTCACATTATTCATTATCTTATCCATTATGACGTTAAAGACGGTGGGCTTAAGCTGTGACTTAGTTTTTTGATTATATTTGAAGTCAATGTTAGTTTAAAGTCGAATGTGAATCACGTCTTGCAGATTTAGTCTATCGAAGGGCTTTGTCAAATCCACAAAGCAGATAAATATCTTTTGCGTTAAGGTCTTTGTAAATAGCTTCAATGGAGAGCACAATAGGGTTAGTCCTCTAGGGTTATTAGGATCCTTTCTTGGCCCTTTCTTGAATACCGGAATGGTTCTGCTCGTTTTCAACTTAGAAGGGATCTATGCTTATGATTTGGTACAAGTGATTTCTTCTACTAATTCCGTCCCCTCTCCCCATATTTTAGTAACTCATTTGGTACGTTATCGGTGCCTAAACATTTTCTGTTTTTGAGCTGCCTTATAGCTTACTGGTGTTGATATTATTTGGGTAGCCTATTATCTGCCTCTGCCGGTCCCGAGCCCGGATAAAACGAATAGGGTTGAAAGGTGAGACTAGCAACCTACCTCTCGTAAAAAGATCGATTTCTCATAGACCTAGGAAAACAGCCAGTTCATGAATTATATAGGGTGCAAATGTTTGATATATTGGGTTTTTCATTATGTAAATTGATTGAAAAAAATTATAATTCTCAGTTTTCAATCATAGGCTTTTCGCTAATTGCTCCATTTCTAAATGAGAAAAAAAGCAAGTTTTTGCTTATGTGTGACGTGTACTTAATAGTTTTTACAATTAGAAACTTTAATTTTATTAATATTTATTACAATTGAGTAAAAATCAGCTTGATCCTAAAAAAAAGTACTCACATGATAAGGGTGTGGGACCCAGCCATCCCAATATTACTGAGTAATATTGCCGTCTTTACTTACCCGGTTTACAGTTTTGAAAAATTTACGTAAGTTAAAGGGTCGCAAAGAAATATTATCTAGATGCTTATCATCCTAAAGAAAATCTTTGCTCCTCAGGATAACAACAAACAAAAAGTTTTTTTTTGAAATCCCGAACAGTGACAATCAACTTCTTTTTCTGAAAAAAACATTGCACTCCTATCCACAATTTTTATTTACTGTGTTAGTTTCCACATAATATATGACTTTTTCATTGTTGTAAAAGCTATTTACTAATTTGTTCGTTTTTTTTTCGTTTCAGGTTTTCCAGCGGCCGCATATGCGGCATACGCTGCGGGTCGCGGTTACTCGGGCTACCCTAGTTTCGGACTGCCCTACCCAACAGGTAATGCTTTGGCCAGTTTGCATCACCACCACCATCACCACACACCTCTGCCACCCCTGCTGTCCCTCCCCGCCATCGATCACCATCACCCCCATCCGTTGGCGGGGGTGTACGGGGGGATGGCGGCTGCCGCCGCAGCGGCCACCCTGCATGCCATGCCTCTGTGAACGTCGCGCGCAGGTTTGACACACGCAACGCCCTGCGCAACGTGTGCTAATGACGACATATGCAATTTCTTAATAACCTACAAAAATTGATAAAATTTTACTTTCCTTGATTTTTAAAACAATTTAAAATAAATCGGAAAATAATTAAAAAGAAAACGTTAATATTTTAAATTTTGCACAGTTTTCCAACGAACCCACGCAATGGCTTAGTTTTCTTGTGAAATGAATTTCTTTATTTCATTATTCGCATCTACATACGGCAGTTTTAAATTTGACACGGAGCCCCTAATTAAATTTGGAGCGCGTTGCACAAAAAAATATATTTTACTATACTTCACCCAAATGTATATAAGACTACTGCAACCTACAAGCATACTTTTCACCGTTCTCTGTTTTCCAAGTATCTCTCTTTTATGCTACACAGCACACTTCAATTAATATTTTGGTTGATTCTTATCCGCAATCCCGTTCTCAGCACTATGAAACAAGGTCGTGATTATAAATTATAGATGTAATGTTTGTGGGCCCTTTTAGTTTATCATCAGACTAACTAACTAACTAATCTATCCGAATTATGATTCTCCCAGTTATAACGGGAATTTTATTGCTCCAATAGAGATTCCTCAGCAATGATAATTTTAGGTGGAACGTTTGTTTTCTATATAGTCTTCTAGCAAACCGGTTAACAGAAATAGTATTTATTTTTAATTTTTATTGAAAATCTTCATTGCTATTTTGATTTAAATAACTAAATAACCAAAAAAGATGGAAGACGATTAGAAATCTAAAATTTTCGGGAATCCACAACTTCCTCTTGAAGTTTTTTAATATAATATTTATGTGGTATATTGAGTAAGTAAATAATTTAGAAAATGTATTTTCATTGAAGATATTTAAAAATCTCCGTATTTTTTTTGTCAACCATCTGGTGCTATTAAAATTTCATTGGTAATCGCATTGTCTCACATAACTACTTAACACAACTTCGCTTAAATAATGATATTTAAAATATTTTTGCTCAGTACATTGCCAATAGTGCTGCCTACTCAATTTATGAATAGTTCCAGGCTTTAATTGCAAATATTCTGTCGAAATCCGTTTCACAAGGATACTTCAAAGCGTGGTGAAGATAAATTCGTCATGTTTAATTTGAAATCGTCGTTACCGTTTAATAATAATAAATTTAAATATTAGTATTTCTAGAATATTAATAAAAATTGCGTGACTTCAAGCGCGCCTGTAAACTATTTTTCCAATCAAACTAAAGTAAATATATTATAGAACTATTATTATTTTATGGAACAACGATACAACTTTCGAATATTATTTTTCTTTCTATCTTCGTTAACTAAATACTTTTAGCTAGTTCTAAAACTGGTTTGACGTTGCAGTCGTCGCTTTAACGAACAGTAAAATCTAAAATTAAATCGACATTTCAATTTAATGTCGCTTTTAGAAATTTACATTACTCGGTCATATGTTTTCCGGTATTTGCGGCATTATGCGCACACGAGAACAAAGACAGCGAACAAATGTACTCGTTCTAATTATCCAGGAAATATCATTCGGAGCTAAAACAAAAACAATTTTTCGTTAAATCAATACATTAGGGGATACAAGCAACATCCATTAATTTAGAACGAGCGCGTTATTACAGAGCTATCAATCACGATTACCATTTATATTAATTTGAAATTCGGAATTACACACAGTTGACGTGTTTCAAATCAACAGTTGAGTTCAGTTTGTAACGTATCGTAATAACCAATTTAGACACTTAAAAGCAATATAGCGGGACAATGTAGATAGACTAATTATAAAATAAAAGTCCTTCTTTATTTAGTGATGTTAACAAATTACGAAGTAATAATCTATTATTAGAAAAGTTTATATGAAGTTTTCAATGTATATGGATACACATCTTTTACCAAATCAAAATAATGAAATGTTTTCAATTCAATTTTTTTTCTGCGTTCTTGATTCTGGATTTTCTCACATTTGAGTTTGAGGAACGTTAAGTTCAAATACATCGACTTTAACACTTGCATCTTTAATTAAGTCTTTATTAACTCGGGTAAAAACCCGAAGTTTCTGTGGTTTTGAAATCTTAGACATAGCGCTAGTCTGGGAATGTAAAAATGTGCACAATAGAATCATTGGAAGCAACAGGGCTTGAATTGTCATACCCACCCCCTTTTAAGACTTCCTCATTTGCTACATCTTGGTGACACCCGCACATGACGAGTTTCACGTGTGTTTTGCACTTTTGATACTTTTGGTGTTTTCCCACATTAAAGATCCTATCTTCAAACGTCATTATTTGAACGCATAAATAGAATAGGCAGATAAGGAAGAAAAATAAACAGATTTTTGGTTTGGAAGGCTAATCTCTTCTGGTTGCGAAAAACTGTTCAAAATATTTATTTTTTATTTTGATTTTATGGTGTCACTATGATAAAAACGCACTTTTTTAGAATGAGTAGAGGTTTGTCTCTAGAATTTTTTTTAAACTTACCGTTTCCACGTACAAAATATAAAACATGAAACGTTGCTTTTTTTGACATGTTCCTTTGAATATAAAATACGACTAATTTAACCAAATAAATAAATAATAACAAAAAACCTTTTTAATTCATATTTGTAGCGCAGCTGGCTACTTACGTTTATATAAAAAAATATCCTTAATTTTGAACTATGATTCACTTTCTTAAGTTCTTTTTTATTATTTTTAAACACCCTGTATATGAGGTAAGGGGAAGCAAAAATGCAAAAGAATCGGTCTATTAGAGAAATTTTTATTGTTATATTTATGTTATTATTATCTAGTAAAACACTCTGAAGGGCTATAATTGTTGTACCATTACATTGAGAATTATCTGTAAATTCTACAGTATACAAAATGATAGGCGTAGTGTTTAGAACCATATTACAAAGATAACTAATAAATCGGTGTTAGGCGTATAGCAGTATTATCTCTTTTAGGATAGGTTAGAAAGTCTCAACAACGAACATTTGTATGATAGTTGTTTCCCAACCTAAAGTAATATCGGCCGAAATATAGTTTCAGTATAGCTTTGTCTACGTAGTTCAGGAAAAAATCGTTTAGTTTTAAACGCTTTCGCGGCGTTTTTTTATTGTAGATTGGAGTGAGAAATCAGATTCGATCTGCATTAGGAGACGTTTATGCGTGATGATTGCCATTCCATTTTGTGATCTTCGAATAGTTTTCCTTTGATGTGTTTTGACCCAAAATTAAGTGGATTTAATTCTGCTGCGTCTCTTAAAATTTAAGATATTTTTCTAACTTTTCTAACCTTTTGATGTTAATTTCGAGTTTGTCTATCGTTAGCGATAATGATAAAAAGCGAGAAAAGGGCTGCGAGCGAGGCAAAGGCAAAACGTAAGTTTTTTATGGAAGTCATTTTGAATTTCTCGCGATTCTGAGATAATCGTTAATCGTTACATTCATTTAAAAACGAAATTAATATCACGAGATTGCGGGTCGAGACCATCAAATAGGAATGGGCTTTCAAAAGGGGTACCTATTTTAGTTTAAAAGAAAAAATGCATTTATTATTGAATAAGCGGGAGACGGTCCGCTTTTACAACAAAATTGCCGTACGCACAAGGCTTGAGAAAAAGGAGAAACCGCTCCCGCAGTAAAAACGCACTATTTTTGTTACGAATATTTTGAAGATTTTTATCACACCTCGTTGCCTACTTGCTGTTTTCCAAATTCGTCCCTGTCCTCCCTCCAGCGAAGTTGTCGACGATTGGGCACTGCCTACATATATATTTTAATCAAGAATTACCAAAATCATGCAAAAAAAAAGAGAAAGAAACAATCCTTACTGCAAATCGCCGTGTTCACAGAAGCATGGTAGTATCGCAGCTTCGAAATGGTAGATGGTCTTTTTCTAAATTATTACGTCCGAATACTAGGCGTACCCTCTCGTATCGCGATTTCCTCTAAAAACACATAAAATTCTTCAGAAATAAGGCTACTATATCGTTTTGGTATCATCACTTTTTCCAGCCGTTGCAATAATGATAAAACAATTATGACGATATAAGAGAAAACACGCTTGTAGAAAACAATACGAAGATATTAATTACTTTAACTTATAATAAATCATTTCATCAACACGAGATAATAGATATCACAAGGTACTCGAGATCTCGACGTGCTTTGAACAGTTAAATAAACTTGTTTCCGATTAACACGTTTTTGTAGCAACGAATGCATTGTTTAATTTGCCGTTTTTCCAGTTAACGAAAATAGGATGAAAATCCAATAACAAGTAGTCAATTTATGTATCAGTAGGAATCGATATTTAAAACTTGCTCTGAAATGCTGTCATCTGAACATAATTTCAAATCAACCTTGCACATTGAAATTTTCACTTTTCATCACTTGCTACAGTATCTTACCCTGATTAAAAAGTTTTCAAGGAACGACGTTCTGGAAAAACATCTTTTTAATAAAAAAAACAATCAATTAATCAAAATATTTTTCGCCAGGTAAGTTTTTTTTTCGATAATCGTCGCACGGCGATACAAAAAACGAAGAAAATATGGCCTTATTTTTGGAGAAACCCGCTCTGCGAACATTCGACTGGTTAGAAGCCCGGTCCTGGACTCGGTACGGGATCCAACAAAAGCCTCTCGTAATTAGACGTCGCATACGGACCTTTACACATGCAAATAGATTCGAGGGGTTGAGTTGGATCTCGGAATCCAAACCAGCGCACCATCTTTGCACACCAAACGTGCCCGTCTCTAACGAACTGGTCGACTTCATCTTTCGAGACGTTGGGAAATGTCGGTCAATTC